AGGGTTGCCTGTGTCACCTGGGAGAAGCCACCACTGAACGCAAATATCCACACACACACCCCGGAACGCAAAGCGGGCAGGTGGCAGATAGCCAGGCCTCGCACCACAAGTCACCGTGTTGCCTTTCCGGTGCGACACCGGCAAAGCATTTCCCCCGTGCCTCAGTTTACCCAACCGGACGAGGGAGGCACCTGCCAGCGCCCCGGAGGTGACAGCGGGATATGTGACGATGGAGTTTAATGGGTGTCTCTCAAGCCGGCGGGGCTCTGGCGTGGCATCTCCACGCCCAGGGCGGACATCCCGCATTCCTGACCCCAGCATCACCCCAAAAATTTGCCCCAACGCTTCCTCCCCACTTCCTCCCCCCCCAAAAAAGTCTGAGAAAAGGGGTAAATTCACCCCACAAGTGTGTGTGTAGGGGCTGATTTCCTCCATTTAATGCCCCAAGGCACCCCTCCAGCCCCAAGTCTGGCTGGAGCAGGAGGTAACGCACAGAGGGAGGGTCGGATCCACACCCCGGGCAAGATACACTGTGGGGTGCAAAGGGGAACACGGTTTTCTTTGTATATTTAAATATTATGCATTAAATATTATATATTTATATCCCTGGAGGTGTTCAAGGCCAGGTTGGACGGGGCTCTGAGCAACCTGGGCTGGTGGGAGGTGTCCCTGCCCAGGGCAGGGGGGTTGGAACTAAATGATCTGTAAGGTCCCTTCCAACCCAACCCATTCTGTGATTTTTGAGTTGGAGAAGTTGGGACAGAGGGTCCCCCATTTCCCCAGCCTCAATGCTCCCTGACCAGTTCCAGGCAACTGGGAGAACAGGAAGGGAAGAGAAAAAAAAAACCAAAAAAAAAAAAAAAAAAGGGGGATTTTCCTCTTAATTTCTTGAAATCCTTGCATTTTGTCTGTGTACTACCATAGTTTTGCAATGGGGACAATTTCAGGGTAATGGGGACTATGACGGCATCCGGTCCCTTTTGGGATGCCTTCAGACCATTCTTGCAGGACCCAGACCCTTGTACGTGGGTGCATGAGGGATTTGGGGGCCCTCTGAGCCCTCCCAGGTCTGAAAACTGGGGTGTGCAGGCATGGGTGGTGGATGGCCTTGCCCACCCCGGCATGGGGACATTGATCCCCCCCAACTGTGGGTGCACCCCGTGGTTGTTGGGCGGTTCCCTGACCATGGTGGGGATGGGCAAAGTGGAGATTTGGGGGAGAGGATAGCAAGGAGAGTGTGAGAAGCCATGGGAAACTGGGGAGATGTGGGGAGTAGGGGGAGCTGGAAGAGTTCTGGGGAGCTATAGGGACACATAGAAAGCTGTGGGGAGCTATAAGGAGTGGGGGGAAGCTATGGAGGACAAGAGAAGCCAGGGAAAACCACGGGGAGCTGTTCAGGGAGAAGGGGATATGCAAGTCCAGGCAGCTGTGGAAGGGGCTCCTCCGTGCCCCACAGCAGAGCCCAGCCCGTCCTCTGGGGCTGAGGGTAACCCAGGGTGTGTGGAGGGATGACACCTCTATCTCCACCCCAACTCCCAGCCCAGCATGGCCATGGGGTGAAGCAGCCCTTCGTTAGGGCTACACAATTAGGAAAGGTGACCCACCCAAAATCAAGCCCCACTGCTCCCTGGGGGCCTCCCTGCCAGCACCCACCCAAAAAGCTGACAGCTAAAGGGGGTCTCTCAGAAGAAGCCCCTCGGTGGGCAGGTGAATCCAAAAGTTTTGGGGTTCAGCAAGAACAGGGATCTGCCCTGACCAAGGCAGCCACTGCTTTCCCAGGCAGAGTAGCCAGAAAATGCCCCAAAGGGGATGGGGGGAGATGAAGAAAAAAACTCCAGAGTTGGGGCTGGGGAAACCAAGGCAGGGGTTTGGAACCAAAACCAGGTCCTCTGCTCCAAAAAAAACCAAAGAGGGAATGCCATTTCCATGCCTTCACCCACACCCGTGTGGCTGCAGCAGGTCTGGGGTGAGGAGGTCCAAATGAGCCTGGATTGTCTGCAAAGTCTCAGCCCTCCCTAAAGCCCCTTCCCCGACATCCTCGAGGATGGAGATGACAGCTCAGGGTCTCCCTTCTTGGCTTCTTCTTCCCCTTCCACAGAGACCAGTCCCTCCCCAGCATTCAGCCTCCTGGCCCCAAGCCATGGAAGCCCTGCCTCCTCCAGGGTTTTGGCTGCATCCCAGCCTCCCCTGTTCTCTGGCCCAGGCGATTTATCACCTCAGGGAAGCTATCAGCCCCCAATTAAATCCACTTCAGGTAGCTGATTGCTGGGGCTGATGCTGGCGGGCACTGGAGTACAAGGCTGGGGGCATCTCTGTGTGTATAAGGGCTAAGGCCATGGCAAAGACCCCACATCGGGCACAGGAGACAGTGGAACAAGGAGTAGGAAACTGGAGAGGGAGGTGGCTGGACACTGATCCCACAAAGATGAGCATCCCAAGGGATATGGGAGCCATTTGCTAGGTCCAGAGCTCACCCTGCCTCAGGAAGAAGCAAGGCACCAGCAGTAAGGAAAAAAAAAAAAAAAAACCAACCAAAAAAACAAAACTGAAATGTTTATTCCCACCTGGCATCACTTCCCTGCGCTGCTGGTGGCGGGTCACAGCTGGACAAGACGGTCACCCTCATGAGGTGACCACGTCTCCTCTTTCGCCCCACACGCCTGCAGCACATCCCAGCTCCAGATGGGGCTGTCGAAGCCCTCAGGGCCAAGGGCTACAGCAGCAATTTGTGAAGGCAGGGGGCTTCAAGGAAGGCAGTCAGGGAGGAGGGGGTCCCAGCAGCCGCTGGAGGCTGCGTTTGGCGTGGAGCCTCCTCGGCATCCCCTCCCCTGGGCATGGAGCTGCCGTGGGAGTGACTGCAAAGTTGATCTCCGCCAGACCGACGCGATGCCCCGTGCCACCAGTCAGGCAGCAGTTCCCAGAGGCAGCGGTCCGTTCAGGAAGAATTCATGCTCTCCCACTGCCGGAAAATGCGGAACACCTTGCAGGACTTCACCGAGAGACTCTGCGAGAAAGGGGAGCAAAGTGACAACCAGAGGTTAAGGCACTGCAACAGGACCTGCAACTGCCACCAACTTGCCTACAAAGCACGTGAGGAGCAACTGCAGCAAAAAAAACCATCTGAAATATCCTAATTGGGTGCTGAGACATCAATTTGCTCCTCTTCTTTGTTAGCTCTATTTACCAGAACTGGAGGGGAGAGCAAGGTGGCTGTAAGCAAGAAGCAGGATGGGTCTCCAGTCATCCCTGCTCCAGCTGGAGCTCTCACCTCCATCTTGTGCCTGGTCCCACAGGACCTGCTGGTGCTTTCCTGGCACATGGAAGGGCCAGAAGGGACTGGCGTATTGGGGACACAACTCACACAAAGTCCCCAAGACAAATGCTGAAGCAGGCCTGTTCCACCAGTCCCTGCAGCTCAGCCCCAAAGCAAAGCAGGAGGAAGCCAGCAGGAAAAATCCAAGGGGATAATGGGGCCTGGGGAGGCAGCAGCAGGTACCAGCTGCTCCACAGCCACTCGGGGACAGAGGAATATGGCCTCAGCTCAGCTCCCCTGGCTCAGCAAACCCACTGATCCAACAGCCTGGGGCTGGCAGCCACAGGAGCCAGTGGTCAGGGTGTCCGCAAAGATGGGTTGGGAGCTCTCTGTCAGGACATGAAGTGAAACCGGATCTTGGGCAGCGCTGAGCTGCTCGGGAAAGGCTGTTATTTATAGCAGCCCTTGAACAGAGCTGCATACAACACATCGTTGTAACGGATGAGACCTGGCTGAGAGACTGTCAGCGCAGCCAGAGGGGAAGCTGAGACTCTGCAGACACACGCTTGGTCCTTGCCACCCAGCTGGGCTTGCATTCAGCTCAAACGAAGCCTATCTACCCCAAATTCTGCCCATAATCTTTCAGCCTTGGGCAAGGCTGGAGCAAGCGGTGTTTGTGCGCTTGGTTTCAGGGTTGGGTATCCCGCAAGCTCACCACAGGCTCCGTCTCAGGCACTCTGTCGCACTTTCTGGTGGCGAGGAGCGTGTTCAGTACCACTCGCCAGCCCGGCTCTGCCTTTGCAGGCTCCTTCTCTGTCTGGGTCATGGTATCCTCCAGGGTTTCTCCTCCATCCACTGCATTGACCCAGGGACACCAGTCACGGTGCTGAGAGCTGGGGTCAAAGAAGCTCCTCAAAGAAGTGTCCTGGGTAGAGAAGGAGGTGAGAGTGAAGGACGACAGCGACAGCATGGTTCAAAACAAACTCCAACACCACAATAAAACCCTCTTCATGCCTAAACACCAGGCCTGAGCTGGCTACGGTGACAACACTGGTCCCTGGATCAGGAACACCCTGCCCAGATCCATCTCTTCCCCACTCAGGCCCTCTGTGCACCTGCACCCAGGTCACTCACCGAGCTGCTAGAAGAGCAGAGCCGTGCCCGTTTGGCTCTGCGAAGAGGACTGGATGGCACCTCCACGTTCTCCCCCTGCCCCATACTGCGGGTGACAGGGCGGCTCCTCAGAGTGGGGCTGACCACCTCCAACTCACTCCGGTCCATGGGGATGGGAGAGTCCCAACCCCGCGGGCGAGGGATTGCTGGGGACGGGCTCTTCTCATGCTGCCAGTGGGGAAAGAATAAGGAATTACTACAGCTCCTCCAGTCACCAACACATCCTCTGCCTGACACGGGGACCCTGCCCAGCTCAAACAAGATCAAAGGCTTCTCAGCCATCCTGGCAGGAGTTGTGCCACCTTCCCTTCACACTAGGAGCATCTCACAGAATCACAGAATCGTCAGGGCTGGAAGGGACCTCTGGAGATCATCTAGTCCAACCCCCCCGCCAGAGCAGGGTCACCTACAACAGGTTGCACAGGAAGGCGTGCAGGCGGGTTTTGAATGTCTCCAGAGTGGGAGACTCCACCACCTCTCTGGGCAGCCTGTGCCGGCGCTCCGCTACCCTCAAAGTAAAGAAGTTCCTTCTCATGTTAAGATGGAACTTCCTACATTCAAGTTTGTGCCCGTTACCCCTCATCCTATCACTGGGCACCACTGAAAAAAGACTGTTCCCACCCCCCTGGCACCCTCCCTTTAAGTATTTGTGTTAATAAGATCCCCCCTCAATCTTCTTTTCTGTAGACTAAAAAGACCCAAGTCCCTCTGCCTTTCCTCATATGAGAGATGATCTAATCCCCTAATCATCTTCGTAGCCCTGTAGAGGTGTCTAGTTGGATATGGGTGAAGGCAGGCTCTGATTCGGAGCACCTCAAGTTAGACAAGCCCCAGGATGCCGTCTGGAAAGGCCCTTCTTGTGCCATCCGACAGGAGAACTGAGGAAGGGGAGGACAAAGAGCTGCAGAGGGCAGGGGTAAAGGCACCAGCAACCCACTTCTGTTGACTGTTGCCTACAGCTGGAGACACAGCACCAAAATGAGTTTCTTTCATGGTAAAAAGCAGCGGACACCCAAACTGCATCAGTCTCATCTCCTGTGTGCCCCTGTATCACCCAGACATCCCAAGCTCACGGGATGGCTGAGCTGGTCCATACCTGCTCAGAGCCCGGAGGGAGCGTGTCTTGGCTCCGCGTGAGCATCCTGCGCGGAGACATGGGCACGAGCGGGAAGCGTTCAGTGGGTGTCGGCGGAGCACTGCTCGGGCCGCAGGAGTCCAGCTCCGGCCCTGCAGACTCCAGCTGGTGAAAGCCCCACAGTCCCACCTTCCTCATGCAGCGGGAGCAGGTGATCACCGAGAGGTGCACGGAGCCAGACGCAGCACTGTAGGGACAGAGCCAAATCACAGGAAAAGGTCAGGGACAAGCCTGGGCCCTTCCCCAAAATCACAGCTTTCAGAACAGATGCAGGTATTTGGCAGAGAACAGGAACAGTCTCAGTCGCAGGTACCTCAGCCAACACATTTCAAGACATCAGTACCCCCGGGCTGAAGAATGGCTGACTTACCATTCTTGTAGCCCCATAGGCTAATAAGTAAAACAAGTCCATTAAAACCCATCTATAGCGTTGATTCAAATTGTCTCAGTTACCTTTTGGCTTGCCACAAAGCAAGAGCACACTCAGTTACAGTATATCAGCCGAGGTTGTCCCCATCCTCAGCCCCAAACTGCCCGGCCACGGCGGCAGCTCCACTCTTCCCCACCATAAGCCCTTTTCCAGCCTGCATTATACGCGATTGCTTTAACTTCAGCAAGCTGCCTCAGGCACATACAGCATGGCTATTCTGCTCACAGCACACACTTTGGGAAGCGTGAACCTTCAGGTCACGAAGCTTCCCTCCCTTCCCACAGGCCTGACAAGCAATGAAAGCGTTATGGAGGATGACATTTCAGGGATTGACTTCAACATCTAAATCAGCAACGAGTGGGGCAACCGACAGCTCAGTTGTTTTAGACTCTTTGCCGTCTGAGGGAGACATCCATTTTAGATTAGGTAGCTTTACACTGGGGTTTCTGGAAGCCTGTCAATTTTAACAGCTGGAAATGATAATAAAATAGTGAAACAGGGGATACCGAACATTTCACAGGAGGGATATCTGCATTCCTCTAGCTTCTGATGGGTTTCACCAGCAACCCCAAAGTGCAGCAGACACTTCGGTATCAGTCCTACACCACCACCCACCTGCAAGTCCAGCCGCACAGAGCCAGGATGCAGGCAGGAACGTGCACTTGCAGGATTTCCGTGGCAAACTTCATCGGCGGTTTCTCTCCCTCCGTTTTGTGCTCCAGTTCCTCCCCGATCAGCTGGAGGAGCAAAGTGATCTTCTCCTCTGTCAGGGACTGCGGGACAGTGAAAGGTGGCACAGCCTGATAAAATACACCGCTTCTACTCACAAACCACCTCCTACGTGGAGAAAAATCTCTTTTTCACTCCCAGAAAGGCCTGGGTGCGTGAGCCAGAACTCTCAGCACTTCTACTCTGGTTAAGAGGCAAAAGCCACGCAGAAGCAATAGCTTCCTCCTGCCTTGAGCCCATCTGACCCTCCCCATTGCATGGGCTCTGTTCAAGCACCGTTTGCTCCCCCAGGCGTGAGTGGGGACAGTGGAGGACCTCCATCGCCCATGGCAAACACAAGCCTGAACAGCCCCCGTTTGTCCCTCTGATCCCAGGGAGGCAGAAGGGGCTCTTTGCCCTTGCTCAGGCAAACCACAACCATTTCTGGGCCCATTGCTGAGACACAGCATGAAAAGAGTCCCCAGAGACTCTCAGTCAGGCTCCAGACCTTGCTGCTAGCGGGACAGCTGGGGAGTTAGATGTGTAGATGCTATACATTCATTTGCTTTATGCTGTCTCTTCTCAGGGGGCTCTGATGGGTTTCATAGCTCAGCCAGCCCACGGTGGCAACCATAAAACACCTCTGCGATTTCTGCTGAATGGATGAAGAGTTCCCCGGTTCCCATACGGCTTCTCGCTGCTGAGAGCCATCTGTTTCCCAGCCAGTGAGTGCCCAACAAGCCAGACTTGGCTGGAGTAGAGCAGGGCCTGGCCAGGTCCCTCGGAGGAGGCAATCCCACACTTGCTCCTGGCTGCAGCTACGCTCCAGCCTCTCCTGCCGTAACTCCTGCTCTTCCCTCCTGACTGCTGAGCTTCCTCGCACAAGAGGCCCTCCTGTACCACGCTCCCTCACCTTCGTGGTCCTCTGCCCACACCTCTGCCCTGGGGCAGTCTCTGGCACCCCAAATTCCCAACCCCACCTAGAGCAATGACTGCCTCCAGTGGGATCCCAGCCACTCATTAGAGGGGCAATCCACAGGCTGACGCATCTCATGGAGTGCTTGGAGCTAACAAACAGGGGCAGGGGCTGCCAGTGAATGCTCCCAAAGGAGTCTGTAGGACCCCAAATCACTTCTGCCAGGCACCAGAGAGCACCTCGCGTGCCAAAAAAGGTGCGGAGTGGGAACCAGACACTGTAGCCCACTTGCCACTGGCAACATCACGGTGACATAAGCCAGCTGCGTTGGCCAAGAGCTTGCACAGCAGATGAGCCTTTCTAAACTCCCTTTTACGTGCTTCCAAAAAACACCAGATGAAACCACCATGCAGGGAACACCCGAGGAGAAAGCCAAGGCGATGACAGACCACTCACACACGCAGACAGGGCTGAGCTTTGCCTGCCTGGCAAGCTCAAGCCTCTGATTTGAATCTCGCAAGTGTTTCGGTCAGGGTTTGCACAGCACAGGCGTGCCTGGCATTGTCACCGGGCACTTGAATGCACCCAAGCTTGGGGCCAGGCAGGAACTCACCATATTTTTCATGTCTTCTGGTCTGAGGGAGGGCAGCTGAAGCTCCAGCTGACACAGGCTCTGAAAGCGGTCCAGGAAGTCCTGGAGAAGGGCTCTGGGTTCATCCACCAGCAACATGGCAAAACGATCTGGTGAAAGCAAACATGGGAGGCCTGAGCTGTGCCACCAGCCTTCCCACCCCCCTCCTTATCCCTCAGGGCAAGAGAGGAGATGAGTCCAGCCAAGGTCTTCCCATAATGGTCTCCTGGCTTTTAAAAGAAAAGCTGAGCACAGCCTTTTTCCTTTGCAACCACCCTTCCCCATGCAGCGCAGGTTTGAAGATGAGATCTGTTGCCCTTTGAGCATCCTGTATCATCCAGTCCCTGCTGTCCCCTCCCAGTTACAACCTGAAAAGCATTTTAACTGCCCTAGAGGCACGCAAAGGTTAAGAGAGGCTGGGTACAGCCCGGCCTGGCACTCCAGCCATGGCTCAGTTTATTTGTTTATTTGCTGAGGCTTCTCAGAGATGTGGCTTTGCCACTCTGTGTGTCATCATCCACATGAGGGGAAAAAGGGGACTGTGATGACACCACTTGCTTTGAGAACCTGAAGAGAAACCACAATTCCTACAATGGGAGACAACAGCAGCAACAGAAAGGGAGGGAAAAAAAGGGAATAATGCCAGACGTGCACTAGCTAGGCTCTGAGACACCAACCTGGGCAGGGGCTGTCCGGCCAGAAGCAGAACTTCTCATGTGCGGTGCACAAGGCCTTCTTCAGCTCCATGCAACGCTCCTTATCTGCAAGGCAAAGCTCACTTCTACTCCCCTGCAGAGCCATCTCCTCGGGGAATGATTGGGAAAACCAAACCAGGAGAAGAAGGGATCAGGCTACGAGGTCTTCCCCGCTCCTCCTGTTCAGCATGGCTTGGGCGACAGATGCCACCTGAGGCTGTAGCTTGCAGAGCCTGAAGCTCTCACCTCAGAGACATCTCCCTCCCCACCAAAAGGAGCTGTCGCACCTCCAGCCTCCCTGCAGGCAAGCACAGAGCAGCGGTTCCTGCAGCAGCGAAGGCAGGCTGGCTCAAGGGGCTATCTCCACAACAGCAAGTATCACCAGAGTGGTTCCACCTCCCTGCAGCTAAAATCCCCTCCTGTTCCTAGGCACGGCAAGCACGGAGCAGGGGAACCTGCCACACTACATGGCAGCGCAGTGGAAACACAGCTCAAATCAACCACCAGCACAGAAACTGCCTGCTCCTGCCAGTTTTACCTCCTGGGCTGCGGCCAGTCCCTAGCTAACTCACCTGACCCCTCCACCCTGGCTGTAGGAGCCAAAACACAGCCACGTCTAGAAATCAAGCTTCCCCCCAAAAAGACTTGATATTTAACTTATCCATACCTTTCAGAACCAAATAAACTATTTTCCAATTTATTATTCAAGCCCTTCTTCCAACCTGTGATTATTTTGGATTTTCCTAAACCAGTACAATTACCAACAGAATAATTAGGCCAAGGTTTATTTAAAAAAGATAGTCTGAACAAACAGAGGACGTCAGTATACAGAGCGACCCAAAAGGAAACGCTCATACAGTTCCGCATTACGTATGACCCACACTGTGTTTGTCAGCCATCAGGGCTGCGCTCTCTGCTGCCTTCCAGATAAAAACAGCAGGGACATGCAGTCAAGAAAACTGAGGAGCAGAGACGACACTTATTTGCGGTGGAGTAATAAACATCCTTCTGCAGAGGACAGACACAGGTAAAGGAAAGTAAAAGTCTGGGCAGGTGATAAAGCACAGGCCTTTGCTATCCTGTGGCTCACGAGCGACACTCAGGTGGTGGGGCTGAGCACACATTGAAGGCTGATGTTCCTGCTGCACTCTCAGCCCCATGTTATCCACCGTGGGAGAGATGGGAGCTGTTACTGCCTGTGCCTCAGAGCATCAGGAGTGCCCTGTGAGCAGGGGAAAAAACAGTGCTGATCCTGGGCAGGGAGCTCAGCGAGGGCAACAGGAGGGGGGAGTTTTACTGCTGGTCATCCAAGTAGTTTAAGGAGGGCAGTGGAGAAGTTTATTTATAAATTACACAATGTGACCACCTGAACAGTCCGACTTGGTGACCAGCAGCCACCAACAGCCCACATTAGAAAAAAAACTTAGTGGTGGATTAGGGCAGCAGACCGAGCAGTCAGGAAACAAAATTTAAGAAACAATGCTACTTGAATGCGTCCAGAGGAGGGCAACAAAGCTGGTGACAGTGCTGGAACACGCGTCCTGTGAGGAGCAGCTGAGGACCCTGGGTTTATCTGGTTTGGAGAAAAGGAGGCTGAGGGACAACCTTGTTGCTCTCTACAGACTCCTAAGGAAGGGACGTGGAGAGGGAGGAGCTGATCTCTTCTCCCTGGGATTCTGTGATAGAACACACAAGAATGGCTCAAGGCTGCATCAGGGGAGGTTCAGACTTGATATTAGGAAACATTTCTTTACCAAGAGGGTGGTCACACACTGGAACAGGCTTCCTAGAGAGGTGGTCGATGCCCCATGCCTGGTAGTGTTTAAGAGGCATTTGGACAATGCCTTTAATAATATGATTTAACATCTGGTTAGCCCTGAAGTCATCAGTCAGTTGGACTAGACGATCATCATAGACTCCTTCCAACTGGAATTATTCTATTCTAACCCATCTCTGACAGCAGAAGCAGGAAGTTTTACCGTGTTCTCACAAACTGAAGGAAATTTATTCAGCTTGCACTTTATCTTCAGAGACATCAAACACCCAGCACCACCCAAGACAAGACTACAGGAGTCATTTACACACACAGCAAGGCACAGCCCACCCCCCATACCCACCAGACGACAGAATACGTACACTTGTTGAAGTCAAACGCAAGCTGCAGGCTCACGCAGAGGAAGGCCTGGCAGCTGGAGCACTTCAGCATGTCACACTCTACATTGGTCCAGCCGTACTTGGCGCAAACCAGGGGAGACAGTTCGTGGGGTTTGCCTGCCCACTTCAGCGGGTGCTCGCATTAAGGATAAAACCCAATAAATTACAAGTTGACCAGGCAAAGCTTTGGCCACAGCTTATTTGGCCAAAGGAGAAAAGCTTCCAAGAAGATGGAGCCTGCAGAGAAGCTACAGGGAGGGTGACAGCAAAGCAAGGTGGGGGACGGCTGGAAGCTCAGTGCCAGAAAGGATATGGTGAATGTTTCTACTCTGCTGAAGTAGGCTTCCTTGCTGGTGGACTCCAAGGAGAGAGCATCCATTTGAGAAGATCCATTAGCTGATTCTGACCAGTCAGACATGTCCTTCCTAAAAGGAACAGCAAGTCAGCAAGCAAAGCATCTGCGCTGCCCTGGAAAGATTTCATTAATAAAAAATGCACAGACCACTTTCTAGCCTCTTGTCCTTCAGGCTTACCCTTACAAGAACCCTTTCTCCAGAGCTCCTAAGCCCTGACCTTTAATTACTTTACTAATAAACCAATTTAAAAATATAAGGCAACAAAAGAGATGCACATTAAACACTTCACGACAACCAACAGCAGTGGCAGATGGGCATTTGATTGACAAGGAGGAGACAGGAACTTGTTCTCCGAGCCTGGTGAAGGCAGACTGATGATTCCAGCATGTCTCTGAAATTGGGGACACTCCCAAGCTCCCAACACTGGCATCCACAGCCAGAATGTTGGCCCCTGTGGCTGGAACGCCATCCCCCTGGCAAGCGCTACCCTTTGGCCTCTCCTCAATACCCCTCCAAGGGCCAGAATTCAGGGATGGTTGGATCAAGGGTGAACTGTGCCTCTGACAGTGAACACAGCTGCTTGGCTTTAGTGAGATACCCCTAAAGCTCAGCCACCCAGTGCCACCAGTTGCCTTCCAGACTCCCCAACACCCACCAGTAGCTCCTACGACTCTCAGTGTGTCCCCCGGTATGTGACCCAACTCTTTTCAGGTCAGAGCCCCAGTACATGGCCATAGAATCACAGAATGATAGGGGTTGGAAGGGACTTCTGGAGATCATCTAGTCCATATCCCCTGCCAGAGCAGGGTCACCTACAGCAGTTGCACAGGACGGAGTCCAGGACAGTTTTGAATGTCTCCAGAGTGGGAGATTCCCCCACCTCTCTGGGCAGCCTGTGCCAGTGTTCCACCACCCTCAAAGGAAAGAAGTTCCTCTCATGTTTAGATGGAACTCCCTGTGCTCAAGTTTGTGCCCATTCCCTCTTGTCCTGTCACTGGGCACCACTGGAAAAAGACTGTTCCCATCCCCATGGCACCCTCCCTTGAAGGATTTATAAGCATTGATAAGATCCCCCCCTCAGTCTTCTTTTCTCTAGAGTAAAAAGCCCCAAGTCCTTGTGCCTTTCCTCATGAGAGATGCTCCAGTCCCCTCATCATCTTTGTAGCCTTTTGCTGGACCCTCTCCAGCAGTTCCCTGTCCTTCTTGACCCAGGGAGCCCAGAACTGGACACAGCGCTCCAGATGTGGCCTCCCCAGGGCAGAGCAGAGGGGGAGGATGACCTCCCTCAACCTGCTGGCCACACTCTTCTTGATGCTCCCCAGCATGGCATCAGCCTTCTTGTCCACCAGGGCACATTGCTGGCTTATGGGCATCCTGTCAGCCACCAGGACTACCAAGTCCCTTTCCACAGAGCTGCTCTCCAGGAGGTCAGCCCCCAACCTGTACTGATGCATGCGGTTATTCCTCCCCAGGTGCAGGCCCCTACACTTGCCTTTGCTGAATTTCATAAAGTTTCCTTCTGCCCAACTCTCCTGCCTGTCCAGGTCACGCTGAATGGCAGCACAGCCTTCTGGCGTGTCAGCCACTCCTCCCAGTTTTGTGTTGTCAGCAAACTTGCTGAGGGTACACTCTACCCCTTCATCCAGGTCATTGATGAATATATTGAACAGGACCCGACCCAGTACTGATCCCTGAGGGACACCACTTGTTACAAACCTCCAACTAGACCCTGTGCCACTAATCGCAACCCTCTGAGCTGTACCTGACAGCCAGCTCTCAATCCACCTCACTGTCCATTCATCTCACCCACGCTTCCTAAGCTTGCCTATGAGGATGATGTGGGAGACAGTGTCAAAAGCTTTGCTGAAGTCAAGGTAGACAACATCCACTGCCAGTTCAGCTCACTTAGGCTGCAGGGACATCCAAACTCTACAGGTCAGTTACCAGTCCCTGCCCTCCCAGTTCACACCAGTACCTCCCACTACTGCCTCCCAGTGTCCCAGTATCTTTCAGTTTCTGCTACTGTCTCCCCATGCGTCTTAGTCCCTGCAGGACTTCCAGCACCACCAGTACTGCCTCACAGTACCCCTTAGTTCCTCCAGTACTCCCAGTGCTTCCTAGTCTCCCCAGTACTGCCTCCCCATGCCTCTCAGTCCCTCCAATACTCCCAGTGCCACCAGTACTGACTCCCAGTGCTTCTTAGCCCCACCAGTCCTCCCGGCCCCACCAGCCCCGCCTCCCAGTGCCCCTCAGCCCCACCAGTACCGCCTCTCAGCGC